ATTTTCCTGCACTAAAGTCTTCGAATATTCACTCTGCATCTCAAAAAGTATATTATAATAAAATAAACTGTAATTAGCTCGAAAATATTTCAAATAAACTCAAGATAAACAAACAAACGTCAAATTTTCCACGCTCGCCATATTGAAAAATCACGTGGTTTGGAGAGCCTAATTGGAAAATCGCTGAAAATTGAAATTTTGAGAGGAACCTGTAACAGCACAGTTCAACACAGTTCAGATTAAATAGGAATCCAATCTGGTCTGATTTGCTTTCCAAAATTTTTGGGGTGCTGAGCGTCAAATAATAGCCCCTTAAGGTAAATTACCCAGTTGTTGACATGTTAAGGGTATCCTTGTTTATGATCACCACACATTTTCCAAACTTTCAATCCCAAGGCTTTGATATATTTTTTAGCGTGATTTCAAACTCATAATTAAATGTTTTTTTTTTTTTTTTTATTTGTCAAACACATTGTGTTTATTACATTACAATCTAGTCAGTAAGACTAATTAGCAATTTTGTTTTAACCTAATTTACTATAAAGTTTACAATTCTTGAGGTTCACTCAACAGTTTTCCCCACTTTGGTTAAACTGTAAATCACAATTTTGATGTGTTTATAGCACTGTTTTGTTGTGTTTTTCAATTTCAGTTCACTAGCTCGAACGGCTTCACCCTTCTCAGTCTTCTAACTAGCTCAGTATTGTCTAGGAGCTCAATGACTTCCACATTCACATGCCGATGTAGTCTATCTTCATGGCTTTTTGCGTACTTTCTTATAGTCTCTGTTACAGTATCAATTCCTAGTTCCCGATGTAGATCACTATTTCGAACGTACCAAGGTGCATTAACAATGTTTCTTAGTACTTTATTTTGGAATCTTTGAATAACTTGTATGTTACTATCTTTAGTGCAACCCCAAAGTTGAATTCCATATGCCCATACTGGTTTCAGTATTTGCCTATAAAGTAGTAACTTGTTATGTATGGTTAAATTGGACGTCCTTCCAATTAACCAGTACATTTTTCTATACTTAAATTCAAGCTCTTGCCTTTTTTTCTTAACATGTGCTTTCCAGCGCAATTTCGCATCAAGCTTCATACCAAGATATTTAGCTTGATTTGAATATGGTATAGGGGTGTCATTAATTGTGATTTGTATGTGATTTACGTTTTTGTTTGTAAAATCAACGTGAATTGATTTGGTTTCATTCAATTTTATTCGCCATTTTTTGGTCCAATTTTGAACTTCACTGACAGCGTTCTGCAGTTTTTCTGTTGATTGTTCAATACTTTTTTCCACTGTAATTAAACCAGTATCGTCGGCGAATGTTGCTAAATGACAATTTTCTGGTTTTGGGATGTCGCATGTAAATAATAAATATAAGTAGGGACCTAGCACGCTACCCTGAGGTACACCTGCTTTTATTTTTCGTAAATTTGACTCAAAATCTTCCTGTTTGACTCTGAAATGTCTATCACACATATATGATTCCAAAATATCAGAATATTGTTTTGGCAGAAACAGCTTTAGTTTATAGTTTAAGCCTTCATGCCAAACTTTGTCAAATGCTTGCGCTACATCGAGGAAAACTGCGGAACAGACTTTTCCCTCTTCCAGCGATTTTTCTATTAAATTCGTTATTCTGTGTACTTGGTCGATCGTAGTGTGCTTGTCGCGGAATCCAAATTGATGAGTTGGAATGATTTCCTGTCTTTCTATGATCGGTTTTATTCTTTTTAGCAGTATCTTTTCATAAAGCTTAGATAAAACGGGCAATAATGATATTGGCCTATAAGATGACACATCATGAGGTGGTTTTCCGGGTTTTGGTATCATGATTACTTCTGCAACTTTCCAAAGTTTAGGTACGTATTTAAGCCTAAAGGACGCATTGAAAAGGTTGCATAATTTCACAATAGCTTTCCTGGGGAGTTGTTTTATTACTTCCCCAGTAATTAGGTCATATCCTGGAGCTTTTTTCGGACTGATATTTTGTTTGATCTCTGTTAATATTTCTCTTAGTGAAGTAGGCTTAATGTTGCCTTCTTCTTGATAAGGTTCGTTCCAGGGAAGATTTTCATCCTGTGCTTCGTTAGGCTGGAATGTCTTTTCTAAATGACTTGCAAAAAGTTCTACTTTTTCTTCGTTACTCCTTGCCCATTGCTGATTTGACTTTCTTATGGGTGGAATTTGGGTAACTGGTCTTTTAAGGCGTTTAGTTGCTTTCCAAAGAGAATAATCAGTGCTTTTGTCGCCGGTGAGTTCACTTAGGTAATTGTTAATAGAGTCATTTTTGATTTCTTGAATTTCTCGCCTTATGCGCTGCGTCATATTGTTGATAATTGTTTTGTCATGGGGATCTCGACTTTGCTGCCATTTTCTTCTTAGTTTCCTTTTTTCTATAATAAGATCTCTAATTTCTTTTGGGTAGTTTTTTCCCTTAAAAATTCTTTTTAATTTGGGACTGTTTTCCCAAGCTGTTTGTTGAATATTAACGATAAAACAATCGACTTCTTCATCAATTTGTTGTGGCGTTCGCAACGGTACTGATAAGTTCATCTTTTCCGACAGACTTTGTTTAAAACTAGCCCAGTCCGTCAGTTTATTAACTAATGAGATAGGTGCTTTTTTCTTAATTATATATTCACTCAGAGTTAGGATAATAGGTGAGTGATCTGAGTGTAAATCATAACTTTCTTCTATCTCCAGAAAATTTGGAGATATATTTTTTATTACGAAAAAATCGATTAGATCGGGAATTTTTCCAGGATCGGTTGGATAATATGTTGGCCTACCTGTGGATAGGGGCTGGCATTGATATTCATTAATAGCTTGCAGAAGTTCCTTCCCCTTGGAATTGGTTAGTCTGGAACCCCAGTAGGTATTTTTTGCATTAAAGTCACCCCCAACTATGAATCGATTTCCCAACTTTCTAAGAAAATTGAGATATTGATTTTTCTTCAATAAATGCCTTGGTGGTATATAGGCAGCAGATATGGTTAGTGTATATGTTTTGGTTTTTACACTTACTGCTGTAGCTTGAATTTCAATTGTTTTGTATTCCGTCTCTTCAATGTGAGATATGTTTTCTTTAATTATGACAGCGCTTCCTCCATGTGCTGTATTGCTAGGATGAATTGTGTGATACACTTTATATCCTTTAAATTTAATATAGGATTGATTTGTGAAATGCGTTTCTGATATGAGGCAAATGTCAATCTTTTAATTAAATGTGTAGATATATTATTTACTCTATATTCCTATTATTTGTGTTATTATGCCAAAAATACCTGAAAGGTGATAAAACCCCAATAGTTGACACCCAAAAAAGTTCACTTCGCCAAAAGTTGACACATTTTTGATCCAAAGGTTGACATATATTTTTTTACAAAACCAAATTTTTACTTTTAAGAAATTTTATCACGGTCTGTGGAACTAAGAAGTATATTTTTCTAAGTGTACAATTTTTTAAATGAAATATAGGCACATAATAACCAGTTATTTTAATTTTTTTCAAGTACATGTTGTGGTTCCATTACTTGACACTCTTAAAACCAATAGTTGACATGTTGCCTGTATCAGTAGAAACCCTGGTAGAAACATCAATAATGTAAGAATTAAACTTTTTATTAATAAAAAATAACATTGGGAAACTTTTTGTTGGGGAAAAAATACAAATTTCAATTCCAAATTGGTAATAAAAGAAATTGCTTGGAAAGCATTGGTACATTGTTTTTTTTTGCTGATGTAGCTGCAGTGAGCCCCCTATCCCAATCATCCAACGCAGCAATCATGTCTTCTGGTAGTTCTGTTGCATATTTCAGCAATTTCCATTTTTCATACGTCATCTCTTGATTTAAACCTGAAAGGACCAATTGTTGACACTCCAAAGCTCCAAACCTTGACAGGGGTAGCAGGGGTGTCATCTATTGGATCTACGACCGTTACATTCCCCAAACCCATATCTAGGTTTCTTTTTAATCCAGAGCAATAAAAAGAGACAGACTACAATGTTAAAATATTTTTACCGCCAAAAATCCATAAGTTGACACTAGTGTCAACATTTGGATCACCCCTCGATTTGGGCTTCAATAGTTGACACCCCCCCTTAAAAAGTTTATGCCAGTTGTTTAAGAGATAAAACAATAATAAATATGTATTACAATGTATCTTATTATACAGTAAATATATATTATTCATATTTTATCAACCCTACTTTAGCTTTGAGAACTTTTGTTTTTATATCTTCTTAACTATTTTCACTAGAAATCTGCGAAAAAATTCAAACATTTGCACCTGTTCACTACTTCTTGCCACAATTTTGAAAAAACTCGTCATTTCAAATCCATACATTAGCTATAGCCTGAAAGATGGCTCCAACAATACTATAAGCTATTTCAGTTAGCTTATAATCTATATAAATTCTTCTTTTCGGGAATAATATGCTAATGTGAAAATTTTTGGGAGCCGGTCAACAACTGGGTACTTTACCTTATCAGGTTTTTATTGGAAAATGGCTGAAAATTGATATTTGGACAAAAACCTGATGCCTATGATGCACAGTTAAGCACATTTCAAATTGAATAAGAATACATTTTGGTTTGATCTGATTCTTATCTGATCCAAAATTTTGGGTGGCTAACCGGCAAGTAAGCCGCTCTCCTTTTTTTTTCTTATAACATTGGTGTCGCAACAGCACAGCATAGTAAAGCAGGTCCGAGAGCAGGCTGTTCTCACAGAAATCACAAACCAGTCAGAGCATTTTTGATTGGTCCAAATCGCTTGCAACCAACTATTTTCAACCAATGAAATTCGCTCTGACTGGTTTGTGATTTCCGTGAGAACAGATCTTAAGTTGTTGCAGAATTTTCCGAAAATTCGAATGTGGGGGCCAACTTGTTATAGCTCACAAACTGAGTCAGTCACTACAACCTCTTTCTCTCTCTCTCTTTCCAAATATCACAAAATATCTCACCGAATACATTACACTTTTTCAGGACTGGATCCAAATGCTTAAACATTTCAACAAATTGGACACTTGCATTAACACTTCTACATGGTCCACTGACATTAATACATTGGATAATGAGCAACATTTCAAAGATGAACTAAGCTTAGCCACAAAAGTTACTTTTGAAAATGCTCAAGCTTTTAAATCTTTGACTAGATTGTATGGATCATTGTCTTTAAAAGGTATGCAGCCACTGGAACTTAAGATCAGTTTTAGCAAAAATAAACTTTAATTTGCATTTTAGAATGGTACTCGACTACTTGCCAAGATCAAGACAAACTACCAAAATTTGTAGATATATTTTTCGATGTTCCACCATTACCAAATGATTTAAACGAATCGATAGATGTGTGTGTTACTATCAAAGGCCCTGCAGAACTATTGCCATTTTTTAAAGAGTCATTATGTAAACCAGCTGTTATGAATAAACAAACAAAGGTAGGTACCTTTATATTACACTCAGCTATGGACAAGGTTAGTAAAATATGAATTATTATTATTTATACAAAAAATTAAAATATTTGATAGATGTTCAATATAAATCAAGTATTATTCATTTTTTAATTAACTTGCTTATTCAGGTATATTGTTCATTAAAGCCAAACAAAACCGTGAAGTTGTTCAATTCCCTTAAAATTACTCCAATTATTTAGTCTAAGGTTTTGGCATTTCTATTTTGTTATACCCTCGGTTATACCTAAATCAACTTTATAAGTATTTTAACCAAAATATTATCCCAAACAAAATAACGAACAGATTTTCGATTGGCTACGACTATTAATTACCTACCAGATTTTCAATTTTTCAACAAGCTTTATGTCAGAATACATACTTTTTTCAATTTTGTACAAATATATCAGTTAAATATCTTGATATACAGGGTGTCTGGATAAGGCTATGAAGCGGGTGTATATATCGCGGTTTTCACTAAAATTTACCGAATTTTTTTGAGAACTAAGAATCTATCAAGAAAATTGTACAGTCCCATCTAAGATTTTTCAAAAAATCACAAAAATTTGTAATCTAGATAATTTGTTTCAAACTAAACGCTACAACAAAAAATGACTTTTAACAGACCATAAAAGAACAAGATTGAAATTTGTTGAATTGGAGATCCACCCCCCTCCCTTATTATGACAGGTACGAAAAAATGTCGCAAAGCAAAATGATGCGGTATTACCCAAACTATCAACTAATGTTTTCAATCTGGATAGCATGAGTTTCACATTTCCCTATAGAAGTTATGCCCACTAGGTGTCGAATTACGAACTTCAAAATAATTTCCAGCCATTTCTCTCAACCACTTTATTCATCAGGATTTTTTCCCCAAACTACTAGACCTTACTAAGTCCTTACTCTTATATGGACACCCTGTGCATCAATTATGTAAATCACAAGACTTTGTCTTGTTTCTGGAAACTTGAAAGCATAACTAGAAATTTTTCCAATTTTAGATGGTGAAGGGATTTTTCTCATCCAAGCTTTCAAAAACTTCTGATCCATTTTTCTGCAAAAACGGCACCATTACAAAAGTAAAGTTTGATATGACTGTGCCAGAAGTTCAAAACTACCTCAGTGATGTAAGTAAATTAACAACATTCAGAATCCAGGTAATAAATAACAATTTTTTTTAAAAATTATAGGATGTCAGGACACAGATTTATATCCATTTAATGTGGTGCAGCTATTTTTTGGTTTTTATTATATTTGGAATTTTGGTATATTCTATTGTAAAGAAATCAGACTATTTGGAGCGTAAGGAACAAAGTGCTAGGCTACTTTAAATGGGTACCTACTATTTATTTAAATGTGATTATGTAAGTGCCTCTTACTCCTATATCATTTTGTAACAACTTTAATAAAAAAATGTGATGATAATTTTTTCCTAAATTACTCATTTAGGTAACATGGTAAAAAAACAAAATTACAATTTTTTCAAAATAAATAAACTTAAACAAAACATTATGAGTGTAATTTCATAATTTCCTCAATCCATGTTTTATAATATGAAACTTTAACATATACTCCAGGTTTGTTAGCATATCCACAACGTTGGCCCCACGATGTGAGCCCATATAATGTAAAAACTCCTAAAAAAATATTATTATCAGCCAACAAATTAGATAAGACAAAAAAAAAAAAAATACCATCATCAAGACACGCTAACGGTCCTCCACTATCACCATCACAAGCATCAATTCCCCCGGTAAGATCGCCAGCACAAATCATACCAGGCCCGAGATTTTCTCCATAAATATGAGCCATCTTACAGACATCCAATTTTTGTACGGGTATCCAGGCAGCTCTCAGTTTATGCGAATAGGCCGATTTCCCAGTTTGTATTGTTCCAAATCCAGATATAGTACAATTCAAGTCCCGTTCGTAATCAGCATTTTCATCTGGCAAGCAAATTGGTTGAATATCTTGGTTCAATTTGAAGCCTTTGCCTTTCAACAGGATCATTGCTATATCGTTACCCATTTTGTGACCTTTTCTAAAGTTTTCATGTAAGTAGTACTCTTCTATGTAAGCTTGTTGTTCAGTGCCTGAAAAATTCAACTTTTAATTACTAATATTTAGAAGCATACCTATATAGAGCATTTACCTTCTTTTTCATCGATATTATATTCCCCGGCAATTACAATAAAGGCTCCTTTTGGGTATCCTTCTAGACAGTGGGCAGCTGTGAGGACCCATTTGGAGGAAACTACTACTGCGCCACACCAATGAGCTGTTTTGTCATGTCCTTTTATTTGTAATGCTGCCTAGGATGAAATATATAATGAAAATTAAATTAGAAACAAGAAAAATCAGCTACTAGCTTCATTAGCTTTTCTATCCAGATGTAGAGAAGAGGTTATTGTTCAAAATTTGCCCAAACCCCAATGAGAATCTGCCCAGGCTTACAGAATAGCCAGTCATTTTGAGAATTACCAGAAGAAATTTAGTAAAAACTGTCAAAGCAATCGACGCCGTCTAAGTAACAATCTTCTGTCAACCAACAGACAAAATAATATAATGATATAATGATATAATAATATATTTATTATTGGGGACTAAAAAAGACGCTTAATCCTAGATATGGAACAAGTAAATTTAATTCTAAAAGGTAATTCTTTTTTTTGTTAGTCTGCAAACTTTTCTGTTTATCATAACTACCTCATTCCCGAGGGGGAATCCACCTACCTAATTTTGTACACCAAAAATTCTAAAATTCTGAAAAATGCTAATTTTCATGTTATTATTGTCCCAAAAAATTCTAAAAATTCTAAAGAATTCTAAAAAATCCCAACAAATTGGGCAAGCTCTTGAGCATGCGCAATAGATAAAAATTCTAAATTATTTCAAAAAAATTCTAGTTCAATTCTAAAAAATACTGAATAATTCTAGAAATTGCTGGAAAATACTAAAAAATGCAAAAAAATACTGATAATTCTGAAAAGTTCTAAGAAATTCTACCAGTTTGTACAGGGTGATCTATTATAAATGTCACTCCCTGCTAACTTTATCATTTGACGTTTTTGACAAAAGTGTCAAATACAAAAGTTTTGAGAAATTGTCAAAAGTCTTTAACTAAGGTAGTTTTAGACAAACAGGGTGCGTCAAAAAAGTACAGCAGTGTAAAGTTATATTTTTTTAAATGGAACACCCTGTATATTATGCGCTTATTTGTTAGTCCCCTTATCAGTCCCAGCACCATACCAGATATGATTTCAACGATATACGGTTTGATATGTTTATCTCTCGGTTTATCTTCAATAGTTATAGGGAAAAACGCGAAAATCCCTTGCTAGGTCTCATGTTATTTTTTCAAAAATAATAATAATAACGTAGACACCTGGATTTATTATAATATTTCACCTTGTATATTAATGAATAAAATTTGAACAATAAACTGTTCATAAAAAAAATTCTCTAAACCTTAAATGGTATAATTTTTCTTTTTTCAATATGAAACCTTGAAAGGGGTTTTCACTCGGGTTTTCATGTTTTTTCCTATAAATATCGAAGATAGACATATCAAATCGTATATCGTTGAAATCAGGTTAAAAGGGACTAACAAATAAGCGCACAATATGCAGGGTGTTCCATTTAAAAAAATATAACTTCACACTGCTACACTTTTTTGACACACCCTGTATGTCTAAAACTGACTTAGTTGAAAACTTTCGACAATTTATTGAAACTTTGGTATTTGACACTTTTGTCAAATATATCAAATGAAAAAGTTAGAAGGGGGTGACATTTATAATAGATCACCCTGTACACCAAAATTCTAAGAAGGTTTCCCGCTCGGGGGAACCCACCTTCTTAATTTTATACACCAAAAATTCTGAAATTCTGAAAAATGCTAATTCTCGAAAAATTCCAAAAAATTTCCAAAAATCCCTACAGATTGCGCAGTGCGCAGGCTCTTGAGCATGCGCAATAGGTGAAAATTATAAATTATTTCTAAAAAATTCTAATTCAATTCTAAATAGTACTAAAAAACTCTAAATGATTCTAGAAAATGCTAGAAAATACTAAAAAATGCTAAAAAGTAGGTACTGATAATTCTAAAAAATTCTAAGAAATTCTAAAAAATTCGAAGAAATTCTAAAAAATTCTATCAGTTTGTACACCAAAATTCTAAGGTGGTTTCCCCCTCGCTCATTCCTTCCTATCTTATCATATCCCAATCTAGAATCTAGACATTTGATTATCACAAATCCTTATGTTATTGCCTTATTGTTTGCGGGACCATCATTGAACTAAGTAACCAAACACTTTCTCTGGAAGCAGTTCTCAAAAAAGGGGAATTTGGCGATAACTCCCAAAAATTACTGTTCTATCTCAATCGAATTTTATTTATTAATTAATTCTGGGTAAACTGAAAACAAGGTTCATTGTATAAATTTAATATGTAAGTTGTAAGTAAGTATATATTTTTTGGGTTGTCTATAAAATTTGCCCAGCCTACATTAGGCCTGGTTCATTCAGGCGCCCTTTTGTGGTACCTCTGTATAGTATGGGTACCGCATTCCCACAAAATACGCATTGGGAAAAAAGGAAGACAGACGCATATTAGCAATTCTACGATATATGATCAGAGTGTCAGTTCGGCTTTCAGGCTCACAAAAGTACATCTGACGCTATGCTCAGATTTTTATCAAACATCTATCGAAGCTTCCGCGACTTGTCGAAAGCCTTTGACTGTGTCAATCATGGCATACTGCTGCGGAAGCTGCAAGCGTATGGAATATGGAATACATGGTAGTGTAGTGCCCTCAATTGGTTTGAAGATTATTTGCGTAACCGTGAGGGCGGTCTGTTGTCTTGCGAACGACTTATTTCGCGAGGAGTTCCTCAAGGTTCTGTGCTCGGGCCTATCCTCTTTTTGTTTGACCGAGTGTTTGACCTACATCAACAATCTGGCCGATCTGAACATTTCTGGAATCTTCGCGTTGTTTGCGGATGATGTGACTATTTTTTGGAGTAACAAAGATTCGAACCTGCTGCCAAGAGGTATCGAGTTGGATTTGGCTAGGGTCAGGGAATGGTGTGATTCGAATCTTCTCTGCTTAAATATGTCCAAGACTCATTTTTTTGGTTTCAAATTGTAATCTTGATGGCCTGCCCATGGCGATAGCATTGTTTCTCCCACAGCCAGTTCTAAATTTCTGAGATTGACTATCGATCAGCATCTTAAATTCGAACCCCAAATCGCCAAACTCAATAAGAAACTGGCATAAGGCTGTTTCTGCGTGCGTGCCACCTTTCGTGAATTTGGTGGAGAGGTTCCCCGTAACGTATATTTTGCCCTTGTGGAGTCACACCTCAGGTAAGCCTTACTATTCTGGGGAACATATTTCCAGCACCAATTTCGGTCCGTTTTCGTGCTGCAAAAAAGGGCTGTGGCTGTGCGCAACCTCTCAAACTCACATCCAAGGACTCATTGGCCGGCCCCTTTTTATAAGGAACAATATCCTCGCGTTGCCTTCTCTATACATTTTGGAGACTGCTTGCTTAATAGATGGAAATAAATATAACTGGCAGGTGTATCGAACTCGTCAGCTAAATGCTATTCCATTGCCAATACCTCACTCAACACTGATAAAGAGGTCGCGCATTTATAGGATTTCACGATGTTCAAGAAATTTCTTGTTCTTGAATTCAAGAAAATTTCAAGTCAAGAAATCTGAAACTATTTCAAAGAAAAGTCAGGATTCCCTATTTCAAGATCAAGATTTCTTGTCAAGAAACCAAGAAATTCTAGTACGAGAGACGGCTGCAGAAAATCTGTCGTCATAAGGTGGACGAGCGAAAAAAATATGACTGAGGCCCTAATTAGGAGAATACGCGAAGGTTGCCTGCAAAAATCCTGCCGAAACTGTGTTTTTCAAAATTGTTCTTTGGATGAATAATTGCAGTAACAATCTTTTAGAGGTGGACATGAAATGAAATCACCATGTTGTAGGGGAGCGCGAGACGATTTCAACCTTATAAGGTTGCTTGCCCTCACCCTGCCGCACATCCCGGCAGCCTGACTAAGAGGGTCGTTTTTTTATCAATAACTATCGTCATCAGGTGGACGCCTAAATAAGGTCTCAAATTAAAGGTCTCGATCTCCTCTTTCCATCGAACTAAGGTTGCCTGCTCAAAACCTGCCGAAAAATTAAGGTTGTCTCGTTTAAAGTTTCCCGGTAGGCGCGCCGCACACCAGTAGGTATTTGCGGAGCGCGAGGTGTTTAATGGCGGAAAAGTCGTCTATAATAGAGTTGTTAATATTGCTCCTTGTCACTTTAAGTTACTTCTAATATTTAAATTAACGATAAAAATTTATAAAACCACATAATACTCAATAAATGATAAGCTACTTCCACAAGTTTCGGCAGTTTTAAAGTAAATTTCATCCACGCTCTACCCTCGACCGGGAATAAAGCTAGACGTCTTGAAAGGCAGTTTGATAGCAAGAGGAATTCAGGTCCATGATGGGAGGGGGTTGAGGGGTGGGTGTTGATTGGTTGCTTAAAAAAGAGGCATGAACTTTTTTGATAAGAAACGTTTAACTGCTGATAGGCATAGGGTTCCACACTCATCTTTTGACAGGTGATACATACCGTATCTTTCAACAACACAGAACTCGAGTTGCATATTATGTTTCTACATTTTAAAATTTGAAAATAGTTAAACCTAATTTTTAAAAATATTTTCAACAATCACCACCTAAATTCACCTAAGAACATCTATAGATGGTCACAATTTTCACAACTGCCAAAAGCTTTAAAGAAATTTCTACTTTTATGTCTTTACAAAAAACTTTCTACAAGTTTATGTAATAGTTATTTAAATATTAAGGGCGGTAAGTGTCGTTTACCGCAAGAGAGTGTTGAAGACCGACGCGACAGCGGAGGTCTTCAATATTTGAGACTTAACGCCCAAAATACTTAGGCGCTGGTACAAAAGAGCGCAGGTCAAAAGAGCGCATGGACAAAAGAGCGCATGGACAAAAGAGCGCAGGGTCAAAAGAGCGCATGGACGAAAGAGCGCATGGACAAAAGAGCGCAGGATCAAAAGAGCGCATAGACAAAAGAGCGCACGGACAAAAGAGCGCTAGGACAATATAGCGCGGACAAAATAGCGCGGACAAAAGGGCGCATATTTTATAAAATACAAGAACACATGAAACAAAACTGTTTTCAAATTACTATCTACATTGGGGTACCTAATGAAAACAACAAAACTCGAGGAGAAAATTCTCGGAAACTTAAATTGAATTAATATT